TCTGCGATATGCTCTTTATTTTTTTAAGGCATTTCAAATATCAGCATGATTTGATTACAGAACCTCTTATATAAAAGTTTTCTTGTAGACATTTTATACCCATCTGCTTGAAATTGGATCCTTTTGTACGACTGCTGCTTGTATTTTACATTAAGACAGTACCTCTAAGAAAAATGTTTCTGTTAGTATTTTTGTGTGAAATAATTTGTCTTGTAGTATTTAAGACCCTTTTTTTTTTGTTATGAATTAAGTCGAGTGAGTTAAAACTTCATGTTCACTAGAGGATAACTATTCCCCCTTCTTTAGCAGAGGCCCAGACCACCTGATTTTAGGAAAATCTACCTCAGCCTTCAAATTGTTTCTTTCAAAGAACAGCTGCTTATTGGTTAAAAATGTTTTTAAAGCAGCAGTCCTTAATTGTTATTATTATAATTGTATTATTATTATATATTTTTTGGATGTATAATCAAACCTGTTTGGTTCTTTCTGCAGCACTAGCTTCAGACCCAAACAAGTGTTCCAGATTTCTCCAACAGGTTATTTTTTTCATCTGTTATCAGAACTGAACCCAACATCCCAAACTATGTAGTAATAATACAATAAAATCAATATCCATGTGTCTCTTTTTTAATCTCTTAGGTTTGCTTTCAGCTAAGTTCTGATTAACCTAATCAGTGAAGGAAAACTAACAATTCTGTTTGTTTTTTTTGCTCCTTTTTTTAATTACTATTTTGAAATGTTTTGTTTATCCTGTTTTACACAAAAAGGGTTGAATTGTTGTTTTACTGAATGTTTTCAAACATGAAGGGTTACATTTTCAGGGTGCCAATAATTCAAACCAGCACAGGGTTTTTCGAAAATATGTTTCATTAAACTGGAACACAACATTTTCCACACCTAGATGCTTTGGACCTTTAACTTTGATTTCACATGTTGTTCACATGTTGTTTAACAAAATGGATAAAAGTTTTTTGGGTGTTTTTTTTTCTTACCCTAAAATGATATTTTGTATGAATGATTGTATCGTTTTCTTTCACTTGCATTTTATGTGTGTGGGTGTGTGTGCTTTTTTTTTTTTTTTTAAATAAACTATTTAACATTTTTGAGAAATTTAGTTGTAAGTTGCCCTCATGGAGTGTTATATGTCGACTACAGGTAAATTCAACTTGAAGAGATGGAGAGCATATATATAACTTTTATGATCTTCATGCTTTACTCAATTTGAAGGGTATTTGATTGTCTTGTGCAGATTGTTCCCATCTGGCCTGGGATTTTACTGGAATCACCCAGAGGGATGTCTGGGTTCACGTCTTAGAGCTCTACCTTCATCATGACCTGATCTGAGATCAGCAGGGGACAATTCGAGGTGTTGGAGCAGAATCTCAAATGCTACCACCTTTATAAATGCAGATTAAAAATCAAAATTTAAATGAGGGACAATAAACCAGAAATCGATGTGCATTTTGGCACAACTATGTTTTGTGGGCTCATTTAAAACATTGATTTTTTTTTTAAAGCCAAAATGTGACTTTGATTGTATATAATTATGTAAACGTTCTAGCTGAAAGGAGGAGGCAAACTTTTTTGAAATTTTAAGATTTTTGTTTTCAATATTTTTAATTTATATGAAACAAATGCCACTTTAATCAACATAGTAGTTTCCTCCAAACATTGTTGAACCTCAGCACTGTAAGTTATAATTTAATTATTCATATATTTAAGTGATTCACTTGAAGTTAAAAGTTTTGTGAAATAATTTCACAGTGTGCCATGTTTCAATCATTTCTGTTACAGTTCTAGCTTGAAATTACTGACATGTTGGTCTTAGAGGTTCACACAGTGAAAATCAGGAGATGATTTTTACAATCATGATGTGATCCTTCTTGTATATGTAGGGCCAAAATACACCATGCAATAAATAAATGTATAATGAAATATTTAGGTGTAACAACAACTATATATCCGATACATGAGTTAAATATAAAATATTGGAATTCAATTATAAAGTTCACTATTAAATTATCAGAATTACATAAGTCAATTCATTTAAAAATTAATCAAATATCACTTTTATGTATTTTAGGGGTCAGGCAGAAACAGCTATTTCAAAAAGATACACATGCAAGATTAAATAACTGCAACCACGTTTTTTTAAGCAAAGGCTCTTCATAAGCCATGGCCTTTAGCTGGAGTCAGGACTTCAAGACCCCCACACACAAAGACCAGTGTAGTAATTCCTGGAGAAATGCTGAAGATATTAAGTGCATCAGAATTATATTGTATTATTAACTCTAAGCTATAGTCGTCAAAAGGTAAAGAAATCAAAGTTTGAACAGAATCAGACTGCTGCATCCTGAGGGCACAAAAAAGGCGTTATCATTGATCCCTCTTCCCCGCAGCTCTTAGGCTTATAAATTATAATTGCTATAAAAAATGATACAAAGGTTGATCCTGCTATTGTTTGCGCAGTTGTCTAATTTCTTTAATTTTTATGTTTATTTCATGTACAAATATAAAAAGGCAATACATTTTTTTAATATTTATCCAACAATTTAAATACACAAAGTAAATTTGCCCTGTGCTCTACAGTTTCTCTTTCTTGCAATATATTTTTACCCGTGTGTGAATCCGCCTGCTTTCATTTGTCTTTAACTTTGCTGCAGGCAGAAGAAGACAGAGCAGCCAAAATCTGTTCTTAGTATCAGTCACTGTGTCTTCATTTCAGACATACTAATTCAACCCTTGGGGAGAACATGGAAACAAAGGCAAACAGTAAGACGGACATGCATTTTTTTTTCATTTGACTAAATATTTTTTCTCAGAATGCTAGTATTACAACTTCAACAATTTTTTTAACTTAAGTAAAAATAAAAAAGTAGCCAATCAATAAATTACACAGTAAACAAGAATTTGGTTAAAAAAAACAAAACAAAAAACAACGGCTACTTAGTGAGGAAGTGGTCATAGCATCTGATTAATATTTGAAAATAATAGAATAAAACATATATATAGTTAGAATGTATTTAGTTGGAACAAGCCTGTTTTTATTCAGTGATGTCAGTCACAGAAAGACACCCATGCACACAACTAATGACAATTTGGAAGTTCCATTTAGGCTCAAGCTGACGGGTTTTCATTTTAGGACGAAGCCAGAGTACTCAGAGAGAATCAAGACATGCATAGGGAGTACATATAAACAAGACTGGAAATTGAATCAAGGACCATCTATTAACAAAGGAACAGTGGTATTAATTAATCACATGCTACCCTAAATTAACCCTCATTTTGTTTAAAAACGTACTCTAATCAATGTAACTAGCTACTACCCACCTCTGGCTGCTGGTACTCAGTCATTTCCCTCTGAATGATAGTACCATATGGGGGCATTATCGTTGCAATATTATTTTCAAAGGTGTGCGGAGAGTTGTGTGTCTGTATCTCGATTTGTGTGTGTTGTATTTTGTTGCTTCAGATTTAAAGGTACAGTGGCATATGTTCTTTTGCTGGGTGGATCATCAAAATAAGTGGTCCTCCTAATTGTCAATCATTCCAGTGATACGTTTACGTAAGGCCGTCCTACGTGCCCATTTTCACTTTGCGGTGGTGAGTCTGACTTAGTGGAAAAATTGGAAACCTTCTTTTGGAAACTAAGCTTATATGAGCGATGCAAACAGCAACTTTTAAAAAGAGCGTGCACAAGGAGAAATGGGCTCGTGCACGCTCTCGCACTCATTTAATAGGCGTTCCCTGTCAGGAGTGGGTACTGGGTTGTGCATGTGCATTTTTTTTTTTTAAAGCGGAAAGGGCGGGTCTTTTAAAACATTCGCGAAAAATCCTCCACTATACCTTTAAGTGTATGTTTAAAGACTTATCTACACATATGTAGATCTCGGCTACATTTGTAGATCTGAATACATATTTGTGGATTTATTACTCATTTGCAAATCGGATTACACAGAACTTATTTTTACACATTTGCAAATCGGATTACACAGAAGTTATTTTACGCATTTGCAAATCGGATTACACAGAAGTTATTTTACGCATTTGCAGATCGGATTACACAGCAGTTATTTTACGCATTTGCAGATCGGATTAAACAGCAGTTATTTTACACATTTGCAGATCGGATTACACAGCAGTTATTTTACGCATTTGCAGATCGGATTACACAGCAGTTATTTTACACATTTGCAGATGGATTACACAGCAGTTATTTTACACATTTGCAGATTGGATTACACAGAAATTATTTTACACATTTGCAAATCGGATTAAACAGCAGTTATTTTACACATTTTCAGATTCTTGTAGACACACAAATCTCCCCACACATTTTCACATTTCACTGCACACACTCACATCGAGACACAGACACACAACTCTCGACGCAGATTTGCAAATAATATAGCAACAATAATGCCCTCATAATCCCAATCTAATTTGTTTAAATCCACATCTACATGTGTGTTTGTCTTTGACCACACGGTGGCGCAGTTGAATCAATCTGAGCAACCAAATATGTCCTGAGTGATTACAGGAGCTGCTTTAATCAAGACCAAACATACGGCCAATCTGAATGTGTTTTCCTCCGCTTCCTGCTGAAAGTACTTAAGATGTTGATGTAAAACTGCTTGTCCTTCACCCAAAGGACCACAGGGATTACATAACCTCCATCCCTCGATACTATGATTGTATAACGACCTCAGAGCTCTGGGCATTAAAGTTCAATTAAGAGGCTAAATCTGTTTTAGATAGAATAATCCTCACACATGATGGAATATAAATTGAGCAGCATCAGAAAAGTCTGTGCCATCAGAATAAACACCAAGTTTGCGTTACTGTATTGCTTTCCTTCACAGGAAATATGTTTGAATTAAACGCATTATCTCTCTCTCTTTTTTTTTTTTTTTTTTTTTTTTTTTTTTTTTTTTTTTGTGTAGCAGCACAATATAAACAAAAACACAGAAGCAGGCGGAAAAAAGCTCGTGGCGCACGGCGGCAGCCAATCAGCGTCCTGGTTTCTCTTCAGCATCTCGGATGGGATTGAAGCATCGGGCAGATTGGAGCGCACGCAGCGGGGGAGGAAAGAAATTTGCCAGGGCTCCTGATCTACGCGCAAAATTAGGATTTTTCTGAAACAGACGCGGAGAACTGGAGGATTACGTCACCGCCTGATTGAAACGGTATTTGCGATTATATTTTTGTACAAGTGCACCTTGTTTAGGCATTAATTGTTCACCCCCACATGCTGCAGGTTGCAGTTTACTATATGACTATTTTACTCTGATCTTTTTTGCGTCACTGCAAGAAACCTTTCTGGAGCTGCACAGACGGTCATCTCTGTGCATTTTTCCTTTTCTGCACTGGAAGGCTTGTATATGTGGCTGACAATAACAAACGGATCACGTGGACTCTATGTGAATCTGACATTTGCACGTTTATGTAACATGTTTCCCTTGGAAAACACACTCAGACGTTTTTTCTGTCTGCAGCAGCTGCAGCCATATTCAGCCATATAATGAGCTTTTCATGGGTCCTCTAGTAAATATAATTAAGTTTATGAGTAATACCTGGGCTTATAAACCATTGCCTTTATGCCATGGTGTTGTCTTGTGTAGGTTGTTATATAATTATGAGGGGAGAGGGACAAAATGCTTCCCCTCCCTCATATATTAGCTTCCAGAGGATTGGAGAACAAGATGTTCTTCTGTTTATAGGGACTCATGTTGAAGGCGCCTACAAAGGCCTTAAAAACACATTCGTCTTTTATTGCAGTAGGATCATCTGGCTCTGGAAAATGTAGGAAAGTTCTCCTAAGTTGATTGTTTTTATGTATGTTTGGCTGTGTGTTAAAAAAAAAAGTGAGTTTTATTCAAAGTCTGTGGTATTCCAGCTGTTGATATCGTACATCCTAAAAAGGATCCCAGCGCCTTTTTGTAGGGAAACAGGCCCACAGGATCACAGGTCGTTAACCATGCTCAGCTGAAATCCCTTTCCACTTATTCAACTGATGTTTTATATTAAACCCAATCGAGGAGCTTGTTTCTGAAATGACCAATGTTAGACTTATCTGACCAAAGTATGTGGTTCGCAACCAGCCCAGCAGCTACCTTTCTATCTTTACTTTTGTAATAGAAGAGAAAAGGTTTCTGTCCTGGCATGCCACCATAAAACGGCGAATATAAGAATACAGCATCTAATTGTTGTTGTAGTGACTCTCCGGTGTTGATACTTTTCTCTAACATTGAGTTTATTGCACTGTGGCAACATAAATTTATTTGTCAAAGTTCAATCTGGTTAGAACAGTTCTACATGACACAAGTCTGGGTGACTAGATATGTGTTCTCTTATCTTTGCTATGTTTTAAAAAAAAATGCCCATGAGGTATGGACAAAGATCGATATCTGTTACGAACTAAAAGCTTGTGGGTCCTACGGCAGCATGGGTGGTTTAAGATAGGGCCAACAGGGGCCAGTGGCCCTCTGCAAATGTCTCTAGTCCTGTTCAGTAAAGATGATTTGTGCTGACAAAATTGTTTAGTTCATTGGACCAATTTCTTTTTTTAAATTGTTAAAAACCTCTGGTGCCTGCACTACCTAATCCAGACTGATTGAACACACCTGCCCCCAATCATCTCCTCCGGTGTGTTTAAGCAGTCTGTTTCCTTCCTCCCATGAGTTCATCTTTGTTTCTTTCATCAAGTGTTCCAGACCTGTTTTTTTCCCCCCAAGCTTTCTAGCCTATATTGCTTATTTATTTTATTTTTTTTACCTTTTTGTGCTCCGACTCTGACCACTGATCTCTGCACAGTGTTTTTGGTTACCTCTGCCCTCTTAACTGATTGTGTACTGACCTTTGGACTGTCATTATACTACTGAATTTTTGAAACTGAGTTGGCATTTGAGTGCTGTCTGCAGTTTCCTGTCACACTGATAGGAAAGTTTTTATCTGCTAAATCTCTTGGTGCAAGTCCCCCTTTGGCTCATTTGATATTTCAAACATTGAACTATTGCCCTAAATTTTTGTTGCCTGTTGTTTTTTTAGTTTTATTCTTTTGTTTATTGCCCCTATGTAAAAACACTGGCCCTATCTTGGCCCCCTTGGTAAATTTGATCTAGAACTGCCACTGGGGAGTAACAGTCCAAAAAAATCATCTTTCTGTACAGACTTTGGTTTTAAAGTAATTTTTTTGGTACAATTATGGTTTGCATCACTTAAGCAATATAAATGAAAAGTTGCCACTATAGAACTGATTAGCTGGTATGCCAGTGACTAACAGGATTTGATTCTATTTTTTTCTAAAGTCATACAGAAGTTGGGGTTGTTTTTAAAATCTGGTGTAAAAGTGTGTAAACCCCACCTTGACAATGGGCGTCCTCAGGACTGTGTTGTCATGTCTCATATGTTTTGGATCATTTTGGACTGATTGAATACTGCAGGTAGCTGGAATTGGACTTTAGCTGATTATTCTCCTTTGTTTAAATTTAATTGTATGTAGTTTTTAGATGAGTGATTTGATAAACATTTTTTTCTCCAGTGTAGCTTCCCAGTAGCAATAGCTAATGGTGGCTGGGAGTCCTCTTTGCTTTGTGTTGTTCTCCCTTTTCATAGTCGATCTACAGATCACTCTCAGTTATGCCCATGAACATTTTTCACATGTTCAGATCCAAAACAAAGCCACATTTGTTTGGTATATGTTTGTTATGAACTGAAACACTGATATCTTTAGGATGAATCCAAATACCCATATGCATCTACCGGGGACTTAATATACTTAAAGATATATACATTTAAAATGTCACAAGTCAATTTGTCACGAGTCAGTTTTAAAGGCATTGTTGAAGGAAAACATATTTTTTTATTATTTTTGTGATTTATTTTATCTGGTAAGTCAGTGTTTTATTATATTATATATGTATTTCAGCAAACTGGAAGTCATTCAATTTGATAAGAAATATTAAAATCAGGCTTCAGTTACATTATTCAAAGGTATTGATAGGAGAGGAGATTAGAACTGGTGCCCTTTTTGCTCAAAACATTGTTAACAACAATAGATTGATTCAAAACAGAGGTTGAATTTTCCACTTTTGCAAAGTGAGATAATCTGTATTACCAAAGAGGACCCGGGCCTAAAAATGAACCTCTGGATTTTGACTCTAATCTTAGAATTCTGACGTTTTTCTTAGAACTGCCATTTCATTACACAAATGAAGAATGTGAGTAAAGTCCGAACTAGTTCAGTGTCTAAATTTCATTAGAATGGTGACAGTAATTATCTGTCATAACCTTGGCCATTCTGTGGTATATTTGTGGACCCCTCATGCACGTAAAAGGTCACCTAAATCCAAAATGTTCCTCATGAAAGTTTGTTGTTCTCCTGCAGAACTTAAAGCTCTCACTAATACTGGTTACTTCTAGATACATCCAAATGCATAACTGCATTTTTTTCAGTATTATGAAATTTGATTTACAATTCTGTAATGCAAAATTCTCAGAATTCTATTTTTCCATCAGAATTTTATCTTTGAAGTCAGAATTGTATTGATTTTTTTTTCATAATTCTGCCTTTAAAGACAGAATCCTCTTTTTCTTGGAGTTTAAATTCTAAGTTTGAAATCTGGGTTTTAAGATCAGAGTTCACCTTTTTTTAGAACTCTAAAATCTGGAATTCTAAAACAAAGTCAGAATTCAGAGAAAGAAATTTAAATTCTGAGGAAAAAAGTCAGAATTGTGGAAAAAATTTAGAAGTGTGACTTGTTTTCAGTGGAGTATTTTCAGAGGCACTGATTGGTAAATCAATTTTTCATTGCGGTAAAAAAATCTATTTAAGCTTATTATACATTTCCACCATAAATAGTAGCACTTTAATGTGATCACATCATTGTTTTAAAAAGCAGTCTACTAACTAATAAATGATGGTCCAAATAGTCTTGGACTAAACTTCATTTTGGTTAAAATATATTTAGTCAGAAAAAAAAAAATCTATGTCCCTCTTACTGTTTGCCTTCGTTTCTATGTTCTCCCCAAAGGTTGAATTAGTGTGCCTGAAATGAAGACACAGTGACTAAGTTTGTCCCAGATCTCAGCACTCCAGCTTCGTATAGTGCTGCTTCAAGAGCCTCTGGCCTCTGTCACAAGCTGTTAACCTTAGAGCGTGCTGTAAATGATCTCATTTTATTTTATAGAATGAAGGGAATGTTTTCATGAAAACTAAGGACTGCAGATCCATATTCTTTTTCAGGAACTTGGAAAGTTAAACTCTTAAAAAGCATAAAAATATTAAAGAAATAGGATGCATTCTAATCTATGTATCAATGTGCTTCTCCCAACAGATTTTCTTTCATCTTAACCATGTCTGTGTCACCTTTTTCTGTGTTAACTTACATGTTTTTTTTTTTTTAAATGGACCTCTGGGTCTTCTTATTACACTGCCTCTGCTTCTTGGGAAGTGGTTGCCAACAATAACTGCTTTGGTTTGTTTAAAACATCTCTATAGTCCTCTGCCTGCCAAGATCTTTGAGTCACCAAGCAGTTTGGATTACTGAAGAGAGGAAGACTCACAGAGACAGATTGTTGTTCATTCTGGAGTTTGGGACCAACTTTGTGATTTGGTGCTCTTGCCTGCTGTGGAGATGGGACTGTCATCAAATTGAGAGGGTTTAGAGGCTGTATGCCTATTTGGGAAGCTGAAGTTGTGTTTCTTTTCAGCATACTTGTTGAGCGTACTCATTTATCTATGACGAAAAGGGGATATCGGAGCACAAATTCCTATGATAATGACATTTCTGGATTTAAAGTAGGGGCTTTAAAGTTACTTTTTGTAAAACGTCTAGTCAATGGAACCAAAAAGAAGTAAAGGAGTAGTTCAAGATTTTTAACTGAAGTTTCTTTTAAAAATGTGGTAAGCATTAAACATCTAACCTGCAAAAGCTGACATTTTTGGTGTCGTCATTTAGCATACATCCACATTGGTTAGACCTGGAGGTTGAAATCAATGGGTAGTCTGAAAAAGGGTCAAGACCTGTTTTTTTCCAACTATCAGTTTCTGCAAAAGCCCTTTTGTGAACATTTAAAGGATTGTCAGTCTTAAATGAAGTAGTTATTTACAGAGTTATTTACAGCAAGTGTACTATTGATGTTTAACACTGAATTGAAGTACCAAATGAAGCAGTGCAAAAAACAA